GCCGCCGTGGGATGACAACGGACGACGAGTGCCGTGGCGGGTACTGTCCTGGTGCCATCGTGGGATGACGACGAGAGACGAGTGCCCGCTCGAGATCCATAGCATGCCTGGGCATTGGAGTCGGAGTTGGTAGTCGAACTCGCGGTGTCCGACTTGGAGTCGACGAGCCATAATATCATGGATGTGGGATCGACGGCTCGCTGGCGGCTGTTGATCTCGTACATGTTGGAGTCGTTTTGTTTGAAGTCGACTTGCATGTATCTGGCTCGGTTCGTACGCCGGCGGTGCTTCCCGTAGCGTGGCCGAGTAGAACTCCTTTGTTTGCTGTACGGATGGCCGTGCTGTAGACTTACGGCTCCAAGACTTGCTGTAGTATTAGCACGGTGCCTTTGTAGACTTGTACGTGGCCTTGTGTACATGCAAGTGTATGGTGATTGGGCACGAGACGCAGTCGGACGGCTTGCTCCCGGGTTGACAGCAGTCTTTACTCCGTGATGTACTTGACGTACGCATCCGCTGGAGGCCCACAGCGTGCAGGCCTGTTGGAGTCGGAGTCCGCCCAGCGCAGAGGCGGAGTCAGCACTCGGACTCGGCCGCTTGGACGATCCGGCCGTCACGGGATGTGACGTCATGCTGTTGAACGCCAGCTCCGACTGCGGCGAATCATCTGGAGGCGTCGAGTCCCTTCGTCAGCCGTTCGTGCACGGGGCCCAGTTCGACTTAGATCGACTTGATCTGCGTTGTTTGTGCAGCCGCAGATCTTGTATGTGCGCCTCGCACATGCATGTACTGAGTATATGCAAATCACGGTGGCTTTTGCATGGCTTGCATAATTAGCTTGCACAGCTTGCATGTCTCTGTAGTTGTACGGTGATCTTTGTTTGTCTGCTCCTGGACCAATGGTGCCTTGACGAGTTCCGACTACCGCGGATGTTGGCCGAGTTGCTTCGGCACATGGAGACCGATTGCAGGCTTGTTGAAGAACGCCGCCGCGGGGAACCGAGTTGAGGTCGACTTGAGTTGACCATGTAGGACGACGGAGATCAACACAGGGAATCTGGCTGGCGCAGACGGCGTGGAAGATACATGTTGATCCCGTGCGGAAAAATCATGTTGTCGAGGTCCGTCGAGCTCTCGAACACAAAGTCGCCGAAAGACCCTACCTGGCGCGCCAGCTGTCGGTGTTTGATGACCGACAACTCATCACGGGGTTACCCGGGACGATGTTCGAAAGGGCTTCGGTGTACGCAGAACTCAAAAGTAAACGTAAAGAGACGAACGATTTATACTGGTTCGGGCCATCGAGTAATAGTCTTTACATCCAATTGGCGTGTAGCCTTTTGCGTTGGATTGATGGGTATGATTGTTAGTCATGGCCTGCCGATCTATGGAGCCTTGCCCTCCTTTATATATTTGAGGAGGCAAGTCTCCTAGTCGGCTATAATGTAACAGTCATGGTAGAATTATAGGATAGCAATGTTACCATAATTACATGTAAGGAATTTCTAGTCGGACTAGATCTTCTCCCTTTCTTGCGGGGTATCCGGGGACTATGTCCCACACCATCCAGTCTGAAGAATCTTTGCTGTGAGAAGCTGAAGGACCTGTTTGTTTTTCCTGATGGGTTTCATGAAGAGGTGGTAAAGGATCGGGCATTCTGTATCATGGGCAACTCATTCAACCATTTTAGGTACTACCTGAATGTAAGGAAGGGCATCGAGCCAGAATAGAGTGAATACCCACATCAGCAAGAGTATTGGAGTGATTTCGTGAGTGGTAAGGAATCAGATGAGGCGAAGGAACAGAGTGAGGCAAATTCGATCAACTCCCACAAAAATATGAGGCTGCATCGCACCGCCTCGCGTGGCTACGCCTACGCGAAGAAAATTCGAGATTGGGAAGGGGACGAGGAGCAGCTGACCCAGAGCGGTGTTACGATCTGTACATCTGACTGGGATCCTCGCTCTGTAAGGTTCCTTCTTGCGAGGGGGGTTACCTTCAACCCAGATGGCTCCCTAAGTTATCGGGATGCTGCAACCAAGGAATTCACATAAATGATGAAGGCGGTCCACGAGGAAGTTGCTAATGGTACTTTCAAGCCTAATAGGGAGAATGATCAGCTGACTTGAGCACTGGGAAACAAAGAGCACTCTGGTCGTACACGAGGGTTCGTACACGAGGAGAATGCCCAAAAATAATTGGAGTTACAACATATGATGGAGGTTGTTCGACAAGAAATGAAAGAAAACACTGAACAATTACGTCAAGAGCTTGTGGAGTAAATAAAGAACCGTTCAATGCTCTCTTCGGCTCACGGGTTTGGCCCCTCGACCTCTTTAGTAAATTTGGACGACCTCGCGACGTACATAGGGTGTTTAGCAAAGCTTTTCTTAACTATGTTTCACCTTTTTCTTGTGTTCCAGACTAAAGTGTCATCTACACTGGAGCTGACCGATTTGGAGATATTTGAGTTCCAAGAAGATCTTTCCGGTTTCATTATAGACCAAGTCGTGAGCACCAAGGGAGTCCATCACCCTTCTCTAATCAAGGTGCTAGTGTTCTAAAAACTCCTATATTCGCTGTTGTTGGATTTGGACATTATGTTGAAAAGTATGTTTGTCGATTTTGTTTTGTTTGTATGGATATTTGTCTCGGTGGTGATGTATGTTTGGATACAATATATTGTCTCTCTATATATGTTGCTGGCGATGCGTATGCCATGGAATGTCTGTATTGCTGTTATTATAATGTATTGTGAACAATAATGATGCGCAGTGTTAATGCCAACGACAATGGACGAAACATTACTGCCGGAACAAGCACAACGGCGGCGGTGACGTTGCCCTCATTACCGTCAGAGGGAACACCGACCGCGTGCGATGGTACATACATCAATGGTGGATCGTACGCCGGACCGACGTTGATGTTCTCGTCATCATAGCCGGATGGTACGCCGGCCTGGCGTTGGTGTTCTCGTCATCACAGCCGGATGGTGCGCCGGTCGGGCGTTGATGTTCTCATCATCACTGCCGGATGGTACACCGGACCGACGTTGATATGCTCATCATCACCGCCGGTCGGTACGCTGCCCCAGTGATGATAGGTACATTGTCACCGCCAGATGGTGCGTTGGCCCGACGTCGATGGCTGCATCTTCACCGACGGATGGTACGCCAGCCCGGCGTTGCTAGTTTACATCATCACCGCCGAGCGATATGCCGGGCTGGCGTCGATGGACGCATCATCACCGCCGGACGCTACGTCGGGACGGCGGCGAAGGACGCATTATCACTACCGGATGGTATGCTGCGCCGGCGGTGGTGGTAAGATACTGTCACCGCCGTATGGTACGCCGGACCGACGGTGGTAAAATACCGTCACCGTCGGCGCGCGACAGAGATAAAGGTCGCCGATCACCGCCGACATACACCAACGGGGCCCAAAACCATCGGTAATGGGGGTTCTGGAGCCGACGGTGATTAGCTTTCTCTAGTAGTGAATGTTGAGGTGGAGGAGAGAGGAGATGAGAGAGAGGAAAAATGAGCTGCAAGCTTATAACTGACTTATACACAGAAACCGGGAAACTCTGTGAGAGAGATAAGTATGTCATGTATTAATGTTGAAGAGTTAACTACTATATAGATAAGAAGAGTTAGGCTTTAAGAATTGTTGCAGCCAACTGCCGCAGATCCGGCAAAGACGGTATGATACGACACGACACTGCTGGTCTGGTGGGTAAAAAGGATACGTAGATAAATGTTCCTAGCTCCCAGAAAGTCACTTGCGCTGCGTACAGCGATTTCGTTCTTTCCGTTCAGGTGCCGTTAGTTTCGTTGAAAAAATAAACCGAAATATTGTTTCGACTTATTTGCTGTAAGAAAAAAAATATTGTTATAATTAAAAAAAAAACTGAAAAAGACAGGGGACCTGTTCCACGCACATGTGACGCACGACGACGGCAATCACTTGTACGTGTTGCGCGCTAAGCTTCGGCTGTGTTGTGCGTGTGCTCAGAATCAGCGACCCGACCGGCGCGAGCGCTGTACGTACGCCAACAAAACTGTACAGTAGGTAGCTATCTCTTGCACAGCGACGTATCGTCGTCGACTCGTCGTTGCTGTTGCTGACCGGCCTGCTGGCCTGGTGAAATTATTATGGCACGTCGTCGTTGTTGCTGACCGGAGCAAGGTACCAACAGAACGTCGTCGCTGGTGCTCCATCGGTAGTGCATGGCAACTGGCAAGCGACGCCGAGGAAGACGTGTGTCTGATATGATTATCCTAGCTTACAGATCGATTTGCGGTTGCGGTCTTTAAAAAGTTTGCTGCAGATTAGGAGTGCCTGAGATTCTTGTTATTCGTTAAGAGACCAACTGGGAACGTAACGGAAGATTCTTCATCGTTAGGTACAGCGTGGTGCACACACACTGCAGTTATGGGCGTAATAACGAGCCGAGTTAGTTGGGCATTCACTGTTGCCTGCCTAGGTGTCATCGCACCGATCCTCAGACAAAGGCTAGATGCTAGAGGTCTTGGCTACTGCCGTCCGCAAGACGTCGCCCATCCCTCCATCTAGAGCGACGGCTCAAGGCTGCTGCACTAACTAATACTGTACAGCAGCAGCAAAGCCGCAATTAGTGCCGTGCTTGCTTTGGGACGACGACGACACGTACGTGTCCCGTCCCTCTGGCCCGCGAGCCCTCGAAATCAATCGAAGCGAGTGAACTGCTGGTATGGGCTCGGAGCGCCCCTGGAAACGCTTGGGCTATCATGGCCTGGTTAGAATTTATGGGCTTCAAGGCCTGGTTGAAACTGGGCCAGAAAAAGCCTTACAGCCCGGAACAACGGTCACAAAACCGAGGCCCGGTATAATTTCCCCATTCCTGCTTCTCCTCCGTGTCCTCTCACGGTCTTTCCCCTCGCCGCAATTCGTATCGCTTCCGGCTCCGGAGGCCGACGGCCGAGCCCACGGCCGCAGCACCGTTTCGCCTCTCGGTTACTATGGCTTCCGGCGAGGGGGCCGGGGCCGGGGTCGGGTGGGAGGCGGCGGTGCGGGCGGAGGTGGGCGCCGTCGCCTGGTGGGACGACCCGGACCGCGCAGACCTCCGCGCCAGGCTCAAGGCCTTCACGGGGCAGCGCAGCGACTGGCCCCAGCCCACGGTCCTCTTCTGGAAGGACCTTCTCCTCCGCGTCGCCCGGCGACTCCGCGTCTGCTCCGCCCCTGCCCACCTCGTAGGCATCCCCCGTCCACTGCCCCCCTAACTAACCCACCTGAGCTCCCTTCCTCTCTTCTGAATGTTCTGACGAGGCGACGCCGACAAACGCAGGTGACGAGCGCTTGGTTCGCGCTCCCCGGAGGGCTCACGCCGCTCTGCTTGCCGCAAGTTCTGGTCTGACCTTCCCACGACTGTCTCAGTTTGTCTTATTGCTGCGGTAGGCAATGGAAACTGATTTTTGAATTTTTGGGCATTTTTCAGGAAGAGATGCGTGCGGATGGGGACATACTGCTGAAATCCGAGCTGATCGATCCATCCTCAAGGAGCCTGCACCAGCTGCTGGTCAGGAGGGTGAGCCTGATGACCATCGGCTCCAGAAGGTCGGTTTCGCAGGACATCCTCGTGTTCAAATTGTTGGTTGAGGTACGTGAGAATGCTGCACCCAAGGTTCTTTGCTTGGTAGAATGCAGGAATTCTTATTTGTTTCACTGCTAGTTGATTGCAGGAACGAGCTGCTGATATTGCTAGGCAATTGAGTGACTCTCATTGGACATCGACATGTGTTGTTACGATTAGCAAATTCAATAGCTTCTTTGTTGACCGGGAGGATGCTCATGTCGCATTGTGTTTTTTGACCCAAAATGGGAAAGCTAGGTACCTTTCGGTCATGACATCAACATGTAGGACAGATACAGCTATCCAACTAAATGTAGGCAGTTCCCAAAGAAATTGGGGTGTATGCAATATGAGTGCTTATTTTGATGTGGTGGAGAACATATTTTTGAAGTGATATACTTAGTTGGAATTGTACAAAACGGAAATGAGCTTTTGGCTTACAATTATTGTTATGTGCCGTTGCCTACATTGCTTGGTTAGAAACAAGTTGTTACTATAGGCCTGTTCGCTGGTTGGTGCTGGTTTGGGCTAGCTGGTGCTGGTTTTTTTAAGAGGAAAACACTATTGGCTGACTGATTTGAGCTGGTTGAAACCAACAAACGAACAGGCTGTATGATTTCTGTGGTGCAAACCGAAGTATCCCATGCAGAAGGATCTCAGTAAGGTGAACTGTGTGGCTTGATTATGATTGTTGAGTCCATCATAGTACAACTCCAGGTATCGCTGGAATAATATCTATAATAAAGGCAATAGAGTTATCTTGTCATGTGCATGTTTATTTCTGTCTGATACCACATGAAATGTTTTCATTTCTTGACCCACTTCAGTCCTTGAATATATGTACATCAGTGTTTCCTTTCTTAGGTATCGTTGTCTGTGATTTTCCTTACTGTAGATGATCAGGGCATGGATAGGTGCTGACCAAAAGTTACAAGTCGGGATGGAGTAGTAAAATGTCGGTAATAATAAAGCAGAGGGGAAAAGAAAAGATAGGCATAGGATAAGCTGTCAAAGGTCTAATCTTGCGAGGCACATAGCATTTCCTCGATTTGAGGGTATCAAGATCCATCAATGGACGATCTGAAGATAGGCCTGAAAACTGGCGACAACACCTAGCCCTGAATGATAAGACCTGAATTATTGGAGGGGACTTCGCTTGTGCTTTCTCCACATGCATAGATGCATGAATCTATCAGATGCCTGTCCACACCAGTCTTCAAAGTTATGTCAAATCAGGAATAAAATATGTAGGGAAAAGCAAATCCTGTATCTCCATTAAGTGATACAATAATGTTGGATACCATAACTAGCTTATCCTCTTACACAGTTACTGTAGAGTGATGCTGTGGGGCAATGGAAAACATAAGATTGAAAATGCCAGGGCAGATGAACTAGTAGTACACCGTGATGCATGCTTTCTTTTTCTAGGCCAAAGATGTACGTACTTTAATTCAAGTGCAACATTTCAGATAAAAATTTAGCCCCATCTTTTCATTCTTGCTTTGTACTTGGTGCATGCACTGGGTCCTGAACTTATTTTAGTATTGTTAAATTATAATATGCGATTTGTATTATGACTAATAATTTAACGTTTGTTTCCTGATGGGCTAACAAAGGTGACACTTGATGAATTGAAGTCAACATGCTGTCGCTAACATGCATGTAATCAAACGTAGGTAACATATATTCATGATTGAGCTTTTTTGCACGCTCTCAAGAAGCTCCTTTTTTTAAGACATCTCTCCAGTAGCTTGTGTTCAAATTCAGACTACATACCCTTTAAAGTAATACTCTGATTGACCAGCATATGGATGACATCTTCTACTTCTATTCTTTTTTTTTTTTTTTGGCGGGGGGGGCAAACTAAGCAGTCTAGAACATAACTTCGGCTAAAGGTATATTGACTATACAGATCATCTGTGTGAATTAATTCATTTCTGCTTCTTGTTGTTCGAATGATATTTAACTATGGTGTCACTGCTGGAAATTGCAAAACTTTCATATTAGTGCTCTTTTGGCCCTATGCACACATCCGCAGAATAATGTGGTTACGTATTAGTGGCGTGCTAGTGAAAAATGAACAAGGGTCTTCACATCTGAGTCGACGAGTACGAACGGTAAGAAAGTTAGTCGAACCAATTAGGATCCGTTTAAGTAGTTGGAATGTAGGGTCGCTTATAGATAAGTTAAGAGAATTAGTTGATACCGCGACTAGGAGACATGTAAATATATTATGCGTTCAAGAGACTAAATGGAAGGGTCAGAAGGAGGTGGACAATACAGGTTTCAAGCTTTGGTACACAGGGACAGTCGCGAATAGAAATAGAGTAGGAGTTTTGATTGATAAGAGCCTCAAGAATGGTGTGGTGGGAGTGAGAAGGCAAGGAAATAGGATTATCTTAGTCAAGCTTGTCGTTAGTGATATGATCCTAAACGTAATTAGTGCGTATGCCCCCCAAGTAGGCCTCGACGAGAGTACTAAGAGACAGTTCTGGGAAGATTTAGATGGCCTGATTAGAGCTGTACCTAGTAGTGAGAAGCTTTTTATAGGAGGAGATCTTAATGGGTACGTAGATACTATAAGCGCAGGTTTCGAGGCAGTTCATGAAGGTTTTGGGTATGGTAGTAGGAATTAGGAGTGGGAGAAAGTTCTGGACTTCGCGGTAGCTTTTGACCTGATGATAGCCAACACTTTCTTTAGAAAGAGAGAATCTCATCTAGTGACCTTCAGTGGCGGACAACACTCTAGCCAGATTAACTTTGTCCTCGCAAGAAAAAATGACAAACGAGCATGCTTGGGTTGCAAGATGATACTAGGGGAGTGTGTTGTTTCTCAACATAAGCTTTTGGTGACAGACTTTCGTTTTCAGGTGCGTGCCCGTAGGGATAAACAAGCTAAGATTGAAAGAACAAAATGGTGGAAACTGAAATAGAAGACGTCAGAGGTATTTAGGGAAAGGGTTATCAAATAGGGCTCTTGGAAGGAAGAAGACATAAACAACATGTGGGAGAAGATGGCAACCAACATTCGGAAGGTGGCCTCAGAGGTGTGTGGAGTAATCAAAGGAAGTGGAGGCGAGGCTAAATATATTTGGTGGTGGAATGAGGAAGTCCAAAGGGCTATTAAGGAGAAGAAAGAATGCTATAGACGCTTGTACCATGACAAGAGTGTGGACAACATAGAGAAGTACAAGGTGGCAAAGAAGACTGTAAAGCGAGCTATAAGTGTGGCAAAGGGTAGAGCGTACGAGGATCTTTACCAACATTTGAGTACGAAGGAAGGAGAGAAGAACATTTATAGGATGGCTAGGGTTCATGAGAGAAAGACAAGGGACTTCAACCAAGTTAAGTGCATTAAGGATGAAAGGGAGGATCTCTTGGTGAAGGAGGATGAGATCCGACATCGATGGCAAGTGTATTTTGATAAATTGTTCAATGGTGAGAATATGGACACAACATTTCAGTTGGATGACTCTGTTGTTGACACCAATAGGCGTTTTGTGCGGAGAATTCAAGAATCTAAGGTCAGAGAGGTGTTAAAAAGGATGAAAGGATGTAAGGCGATGGGATCGGATGGTATCCCGATCGAGGTGTGGCGATGCCTCGGGGACATAGCTATAATATGGCTAACAAAACTGTTCAACCATATTTTTCAATCGAACAAGATGCCTGACGAGTGAAGGAGAAGTATATTGGTACCGATCTACAAGAATAAAGGGGATATTCAAAGTTGTACTAATTATAGAAGAATTAAGTTGATGAGCCATACTATGAAGCTATGGGAAAGAGTTATCGAGCATCGCTTGAGAGCAATAATGCGGGTCTCTATGAATCAATTTGGTTTCATACCCGGAAGATCAACCAAGGAAGCAATTTTCTTAATAAGACAAGTTATGGAGCGGTATATTGAGAAGAAGAAGAAGGACCTACACATGGTTTTTATTGACTTGGAGAAGGCTTTTGATAAAATACCAAGAAATATTATGTGATGGGATTTGGACAAATATAAAGTCCCAACGAAGTACGTCAGGCTCATGAAGGACATGTACAACAATATTGTGACTAGTGTTCGAACAAGTGATGGAGACACGGATGACTTTCCGATTAGGATAAGACTACATCAAGGGTCAGCTTTGAGCCCTTATCTATTTGCCTTAGTGATGGATGAGATCACAAGGGGCATACAAGGGGACATCTCTTGGTGTATGCTTTTCGCGGACGATGTAGTGCTAGTTGATAAAAGCCGGATAGGAGTGAATCAGAACTGGAGTTATGGCGGGAGTCTTTGGAGTCCAAAGGTTTTAGACTCAGTAGAACTAAAACTGAGTATATGAGATGCGACTTCGGCACTACTACTCGGGAGGAGGAAGATATTAGTTTGGAAGGTCAAGTAGTGCCTAGGAAGGATACCTTTCAATATTTAGGATCAATGCTACAGAGAGACGGGGATATTGATGAAGATATTAGCCATAGAATCAAAGCAGGGTGGATGAAGCGGCGCCAAGCATTTGATGTCCTATGTGACAAAGGGGTACCATAGAAGCTAAAAGACAAATTTTATAGGACGGCGATTAGACCTGCTATGTTGTATGGTGCAGAATGTTGGCCTACGAAAAGACGACATGTTCAACAGATAAGTGTCGTGGAAATACGTATGCTGCGTTGAATTTGCGGTCATACAAGGAGGGATCGAGTTCGGAACGATGATATACGTAATAGATTAGGGGTAGCACCAATTGAAGAAAAGCTTGTCCAACATCGATTGAGATGGTTTTGACATGTCCAACGAAGACCTTCAGAGCCACCGGTGCGTACTGGAATACTAAGCCAGGATAGTAACGTGAAGAGAGGTAGAGGAAGATCGAAGTTGACTTGGGTAGAGGCAATAAAAGGAGACTTGAAAGGATAGAATATACCAAAGACTTAGTCTTAGATAAGAGTGCTTGAAAAACAGCTATTCACGTGCCTGAACCTTGACTGCTTCTGCTGGGTTTCAACTCTAGCCTATCCTAACTTATTTGGGACTTAAAGGCTTTGTTGTTGTTGTTGTTGAGGTTCCATGTACCACATACATTTTACACAAAACTTTGGAGCATCTTAGCTCGCTAAAGCTAGACATCCTGCCACCAAATCTGTCTTGATTGATTGGACTCTTTTCAAGTGATAGATCTGCTTCGTGGATCTTGAAACTCGTTAAGCTCGTCCAGGATGAGTTGGTGCTGATATTCACATCTGCAGCTTATTAGTCGAGACCTGAAAAATCATCAGCCGTGTTCTCTATTAGGGTAAGAATGTTGTGCCAAATTCCATGATTTGTGTCAAGTTTAGCATTGAGTCAGGTCACACACTCGCACTTGCTGACTGTTTTTATGTTTCAGCTTCATTTCTCCCCGC